GGCCCCCATTGCCCCACCATGGCCCACCCTAACCCAGCTGGGAATGCACAGGAAACGGTGAGTGCTCGGGAGCTGATGGTTTGCAGCAGCAGCTTCAGCTCATTTGCCTCACCCTATCCCACCCGTCCCAGCATCGCCTGTCATGCCCAGCCATTCCCTGCTTTGCTGGGCCTCCAGTCATCTGGCTCTGCTGCATCACTACTTTCCTTGGCATTCTTTAAGCCTAGTGCCCCAGGGCATGCCTGGCCTATGGGATGAAAGGCGCAGAGATGGGAGCACGCAGTGGCACAAGCTGAGCATTGGCCAGCTCTCATTCACCCTCTCCACCATGTTGTAGGGCTGTAGAGGAGAATGCAGCAGTCATGCAGAGCTGCAACCTGGAACTGCTGGTGGCAGGCAATGTGTGGTGGCTGGAGAGAAAGGGTGAGAAGGTGGAGAAAGCAGGAAGGGTTTCTCTCTTTCTCTCTCTCTCTTTCTCTCTCTCTCTCTCTCTGAAAGAGAGTGAGAGAGAGAGCCAGGAGGGGATGAGGAGAAGAAGGAAGCTGAGGTGTTACAAAAAAGGGGAACCTCTCCCTTTCTTCCCCCCTTCTCTTTTTTTAACCTCCTCCCACTCCATTCATGTGCAGCTGGAGGAAAAGGAGGAGAAGGGGGAGAAAGCAGGGGGAGTTTTTGTGTATGAGGGAGAGAGAGAAAGAGAGATTGAGCCATCAGGGAAGCAAAAGTGTGGGGAAAGGAAAGTGTTGCATAGTAAACAAACTTACAAAAAGGGGATCTCTCTGTCTCACACATACACACACTTCCCCCACCCCCTTCAATATCATCTCTTCCCCACCCCTTCAATACCATCTCTTCCCCCACCCCCTTCAATATCATTTCTTCCCCCACCTCCTTCAATATTATCTCTTCCCCCACCCCTTCAATATCATCTCTTCCCCACCCCTTCAATATCATCTCTTCCCCCACCCCTTCAATATTTCTTCCCCCACCCCTTCAATATCATTTCTTCCCCACCCCTTTCAATATCTCTTCCCCCACCCCCTTCAACATCATCTCTTCCCCACCCCTTCAATACCATCTCTTCCCTACCCCTTCAATACCATCTCTTCCCCCACCCCTTCAATATTATCTCTTCCCCCACCCCTTCAATATCATCTCTTCCCCCACCCCTTCAATATCATCTCTTCCCCCACCCCTTCAATATTTCTTCCTCCACCCCTTCAATATCATCTCTTCCCCCACCCCTTTCAATATCTCTTCCCCCACCCCCTTCAATATCATCTCTGCCTTCAGCAGGACCCAGCCAATGCCTCTCGCAGCTCCAGATGAATCTCTGCCTGAAGGCTGCCTGTCCCCCCAATCAGGTGGAGCTGCATGCACTGATCCTGGGCTCTCAGCAGGACCCAGGCAACATGCAGTTCCCTGACATCCCACAAGCCTGTGCGGCGCTGCTGTCACTTCACCTTAACCACTTTTACACTTTTTTTTACTTTTTTTTACAGTGCTGTTCAACCCGTTGTATGCGTACCGCCTGCCAGGTGCCAACGTACCACTGGTTGAAAAGCCCTGTCATGGACCACAGTTCCCATAATCCTGTGGCTATGCTGGCTAGAAATGCAATGCCTTATTTCCTTTGCAGTATGCGCCTAGGAGGCAGTAGGTCTGTGGGATTTAGATGTATTTAAACATTTGTTTCTTCTGTCTAATTTATTAAATCAACATCTAATTTGAAATTAAATATTTCTGAGAAATCCAGGGTGGTTTACAAAAAAACTCTCAAAGACAGCTATTGTAAAGTATCACCACCACTGCTTAAAACAATATTAAAAGTATGTATTTTAAGAAAGAAAAATATTAGTAGTAATTTAGTTAGTGCTGTTTAACATAAAATGTGGTGTTGTTCTATATATGCCTGGCTGAACAGTGTTTGGAGTTGCCTCTAAACAGGTGAGGGATGCACTGTTCATATTTTCCTTGGAAGAAAGTTCTATAATTGGGGTGCTGTCACTGAGAAGGCTCTGCTCATGGCCACTGTTCTATAAACCAAACCAGGGGACCATCTGGTCTAAATGGATGGTAAACATAGATGATTGGGGGTCTGGAGGCTGAAACATATGACAAATGTTTGTGGGAATTGGGTGTGTCTAGCTTAGTGAAAAGGACTAGTGGTGGTGACATGATAGCAATGTTCTAATATTTGACGGCTGCCACAGAGAAGAAGGGGTCAACCTATTTTCCAAAGCATCAGAAGGCAATAATAGATAGAAACTAATCAGAAGAAAACCAGCCTAGAACTAAGGACTTGTAAAAACACTAACCAGTGAAAAGGCTTGCCTTCAGAAGCTGTGGATCTCCATCACTGGAGGCTTTTAAGTAGAGATTGGATATTCCATTGTCTGGAATGGTATACATCCCCTGCTTGAGCAGGGGCTTGGTCAAAAGACCTCAAAGGTCTCTTCCAACTCTCTTACTCTTTGAGAGAAGTGCTGCCAACCTCTCCCCCTCTCCTCGTCCCTTCCTGGGCACAGAGGGAGGGAGGGAAGGAAGGAAGGAAGGAGGGGAGGAAAACAGGAAAAAAGAAAGGGAAGGAAAGAAGAAAGGAGATGGGAATGAAAAGGAAGCGGATAGGGAAGAAGGGGAGGGAGGGAGGGAGGGAGGGAGGGAGGGAGGGAGGGAGGAAGGAAGGAAGGAAGGAAGGAAGGAAGGAAGGAAGGAAGGAAGGAAGGAAGGAAGGGAGGGAGGGAGGGAGATTGGAATAAGAGGGAGGGAGGGCCTGAGGGAAATCCTGCCTTAGTACTTGGCCACCAGCAGTCCTGATGCTCTTTTGCCATCCCCTGGTGGTCTCCCATCCTATTGCTGAGGATGCTTTGGTTACAAAGCCAGGTCTCCTTGCATGAAGAGGGAGTGGGCCTCCTTCTGACCCATGCACTTTGCCCTTCTGCACCCACCATGAGCAACCTGGCCAAGGAGAGCGACCACAGAAGTAGTAGCCTTGAGGAGGAGGTAAACGCTGCTGGGCACCCCCCCCCCAGGGAAGTGCGGCTAGGGTAGGCAGGGGTCCTGGTGCCATGGGAGCTCAAGGACCAGGCTTGGCACTTGACCTCTGCTGCCCAGGGCTCCAGGCAGTCCATGCCACCATCCAGGGGCCCCCTGCATGGCCTGAAGCTTAGTGAGGCTCCTCCAGTGGACCATGCCCTGGCGCTTGCCCCGGTCCCACCCCCCCTCCGCCGGAGACCCTCAGATCCGCCCCAGTCCTGCCCAAGCCTGCACAAGTGCCCCTGACGAGAGTGATGTTGACCTGGCCACACCCACCCAGTAGGCCATGCCTACCCAGTGGGCCACACCTATCCAATGAGTCACACCCATCCAGCATCCAACAATAAATAAGTCGGGTTTGGGTTGCAGTTTGGGCAGTCAGTCTCTAAAAGGTTTGCCATCATTGACCTAGCTATAGTTGTAGATTCCAATTCTCCCTTTTGAAAATTAATTCTCAATCCATGAGACAGGTTATAAGAATATCCCAGTTCCAGCAAAGAGAGACTGAGGACTAAAAGAACAAAACATCACAAGACAGTAAAGATATGGGTAGTATGTACCTTCACTAAAATCCCAACAAAGCTACTTTTCATACTATTCCTTTTCAGGGTAAGCAACTTTATGCAAAGCCCAGGAAATAATGAATAGATGGGTTGGGAAGTAGAAGATAACAAGAAAAAGAACACAGAAACACCCCAAGATTATGAAAACAATATTCAAAACATCTCTCCATACATTCTTGCAAACCATCCAATGGTGATAAATTGGCCGATGGACTGGTTTGCAACCTAGGCTTTAAATTTGTGATTGTAGGGTGGATGGAATAGTGTGAGGATTGTTAGAGCAAAACTGGGCATTGGCTCTATTTGTGGCAGGTTGGCCAAAATCAGTGTTGGTGGGTAGTGCTGCTAGTCTAGTATTTTTGTTTTTATTTAGAAACTTCTATGAAAATATTTGCAAAGTGAGATTTGATAAGGAAAATAAAAGCAAATCAGCTATTTACTGTCCAATCATTACAAATGAAAGTCATAAAAATGCTATTTTACCTGTACTGAGGTCCATAAAATTCTTTTGAAGAAATGCCATATATTGATAGAATCGGAGGTTTCCCATCCCTATATTTGTTTTTTTTAATTGAAAGCAACAAAAATATTATTAGCTATTATATTCTTCTACCTCTCCAGCATCAAATAGTGTTTCTATTCAGTTAGCAAATAATATTACTTGCAAAAGTTACTTCAAAATATCACAGGCTCCAAACAGTAATGGAAACCTATGAAGTAAGTGAATCTGACAGAAACTGATTCTTTTTTGTCACCTTTTTCACTAAGTGTTTATTTATTATTATTAAATAGTATGAAGACCAAGCAAATTCCTTTAGCCAATCCTTTTGCAGCATATTGTTATCACCTTGATTATTAGACTCTCTGAATACTAATATTTGATGAACTGAGTTTTGCCTCAATCATCAAAGTGTCTTTCTAAATTAAAATGCTAAGACAATGTTTTTAATCAGATTAAAAATCTTAACCCTAATTTTTACAAGTTGGCTTTCTATGTGTCTGTGGGTTTCAAAGGCATCTTTTCTGAAGACATTGAGCAACAATTAAATTTTGATTAAGTGAATAAATAACTCCACTGGAAAGTCCAAAATGCATGTGTATTATCAGTTCACTACTATTCCATCTGTCAAAACCTCATGTCTTAAATTAAACAGATCTAGAGGTGCAGAGGTCATTACTTCTTTGATCTCTGGAGAGACAACTGAGAAAATAGGCAGATTGTATTAAGCAATGATGATTCTACAGTAATTGAGTGAATAATCATGCAAATGATACAGCAAACACAACCACCACAGGGTAAGGACACAAATCCCTATTACTTGTGGGAGAGGAAGCTTACCAGTCCTGGTCTCTAATATTGTCTTTCAAGAAAAAGTTTTTACTTTACCAATACTCCCTTCCTACCTCACAGCTTCAGACAAGTATTGCATTGCTGGATATATAGTTTCTGAATAAAACTTCATGGAATAATACTGAGACTTTGGACTTGATTTAGTCAGAAAGAGATCAGCACACTCTGTGTTTCCATAAAGATCTGAAAATGAAAGCAAAAGATAAAAGACAATTACTTCAAAACCCCTTTGCTGAATTTTATATACTTCTGAGATGAGCAAAGCATAAGGTTCAATATAAACGATTGCACTTCAGTTTATTTCAGTCATGAAACTCAAAACATTTGATCTGGCACGCCAAAAAGAGTTGCTGACAATCCTGAAACAAGTGACAGGCTGGAAAAGAGGCTGAGCTGTCCAAATGTTTTATAACAGAACTAATTAGTGAGCAAAACTCATTCGCTATCTGCAAATATTTTATGATAAATAAACTGAAGGAAGAATCAGAAGAGAATGAAACTGCTAACTCCAAGTCTACTTTGTAAAACAGCTGTAACTGCTTCCTCCTTTTAACAGGATCACCTTTGCCATCCTTCCATTCCAATCTCAGGACCTTTAAGCCCACACAGGCCTCCAGCAGCATCTGCATCCCGGTGAGGCTGGTCTTCAAGCGCTCTGCCACAATCGCCGCGGACAGCAGTTCCCCTGACTCCCTCATCAAATCGAAGACACCCAACTCACTTGCAATAAATATGATCTGGAAAGACATGGGCAAAAACGTTACTGCATCACTTTAAATGTGAGTACAGATTTATGCTTTTTCCAGATCCTACTCAGAGCTGTACTTGCACTCAAGACAATGATAGCCTTAGCCATGAAAGCCAGCTGTTTGGCTTTGGGTCAGTCACTTTCTCTCAACACAACTCACCTCACAGGCTTGCTGTGGGGAAAATACCGGAATTGAGGTCTGTTGGATATGTTTGCTATATTGAGTTATTGTAAAAATAATAAAGGTGGGATATATAAATAAATTAAGTAAATAAATATTGCTCTAGAACCAAGCATGATTATGTATGGCAACTATTCCTGCCTGCTCTACCTGTTGCTGATGAGCAAGAGAAGAAATGAGCTCTATATGAGCTCCTTTGTACAACACATCCACACAGTCTGGAATGATTAAGTGCTGTAACACTCATGACAGATGGTAAGATTACTTCCATCTTGAGTGCTTGAATTTGTTTCACTTATTAATGGGAAAAAACAGCTGGAAAAAGCCAAAGAAGGATTTCAATTGTTGGTGATTGTGAGACTGTGTCTGATGATGAGATAAAACAATAGGAAAGCAAAATAAAAGAGAGGTTTTTTTGGGTAACACATCTCCATTACATCTTTTGAAGCTCACTCAAAAAGTGCAGCAAAAATCCTTATATGTATGCTTCTATTGTAACAAAGTTTTCAGCATTCAGTGGTTTTTACCTTCATTAAGAAGACAAAGAAAGCTGGTTTGGAGTCATGGTTAAGGTACCAGGCTAGAAAATAGGAGAGCTGAGTTTCAGTCCTGCCTTAGGCCTGAAGCCATGTCAGTGATCTTGGGCCAATCATTCTCTCTCTGATCAAGGAAGAAGGCAAGGGCAAACTACTTCTAAACATGTTGCTAAAAAAAAAATCCACAGAAATGTGTCCAGGGAATTATCAGGATTCAAGTCATACCACAAAAAAAAAAAGGAAGTAAGTGAAAGAATCTAATGTTTTGCAAGTTTTACTATTTAATATACTATTTGTAAGTATTACATGTCTTACTTTTGAAATCACAAATGAATGCTGATGATGAAATAACATTTTAATATTTTCAGCTTCTTCAGATGAACTCATTGTGACCCCAGGAATTGTACAGCAGTCCTTTCCATATTAAATCAAATGTCTCCAGCTCACAAGACCAGTTGTTGCCTTTCTCCTTCTCCTAGATGCCTAGACTGCAACAATAAATGTAAGCAGATGAAAAGAGAAAAAAGAACTAATAAAATTATTAACCAGGACTTCCGGTTCCAGTAAACAGCGACGCTGGTTGTGTCTGAGGACTTGTCTCCAGTCCGGCCGGGTTTTCTGTGTTGGTAGACCTCTTAGGGCAGTGTTCTCAACTTTTCTAATGGCGCGACCCTTTAATACAGTTCCTCATGTTGTGGTGACCCCCAACCATAAAATTATTTCTGTTGCTACTTCATAACTGTAATTTTGCTACTATTATGAATCGTAATGTAAATATCTGATTTGCAGGATGTATTTTCATTGTTACAAATTGAACATAATTGAAGCATAGTGATTAATCACAAAAACAATATGTAATTATATATTGTGAAATATTTATTTCTAATAACAAATAAATGAAATTTTGTCTTGAAGCATGGGTGCTCCACCTATGGCTCTGAAGGGAGACCTGACCTTTTCTCTTCTTTAAATGAGCCCTTGAAGTTGCCTGATTAGGTTAAGCATGACCTGTGAAAAATTAATATGATTGTGTATGGGGGGGAGTGCTTATAGGGTGGGAGAAAATAAGGATTAGTTGAGGTGATACTCAAGGGGAGCTATACTTGTAGACATTTGTTGTCCCTGTGTGTGATGAGGCCCACACAATTTGCCTCTTCAGCCACTGCCTGTTTTAATACCTCCAGCTGAAATTCACTGAGGGTGTGGAAGAGGACCCCTCTCCTTCCAGGACAATTGATCCTAATGACCTTCAGAGCTTCTCTCTCTGAAGAAGGCAGAAGGGAAACCTTTGCTCTTTTATGACTCATGGACTTCAACTCCCAGAATTCCTGAGCCAGCATAGCTCAATTCTGGAGCTGTGCCTGCCAAAATCTTAGAGATTTTTGGAAGGAGGTCTTGTTCACTGAGGCAGAGGCAGCAGAAGGGAAATCCATTCCTTCCTCCCACCCCATTGCTGTTTCCACTGAGCAATAATCAACTGCTTTTGGTGCAGCAGCCAGGGCAGGAAGGATGAGGGGCATTACTGCAGCAACTGCAAGAAAAGGCCCCTTGGAGCGTCTTGATTCCACACTAGGAGCAGATTCATTTCCCCCCCCCTCTTCCTTGCTTTCCAGAGGCACACTAGGAAACAGAGAAAAGGCAGGCAGGAGGGGAAAGGGAAACACATGCTGCAGACCAAAACATCCACCCAAAAACATCCAGCTTTTATCTCCAAAGCCCCCACCCCTTTGATCTCTTCCCTTTTCACTGCCTCAAACAGTTTTCCTTCTCCCACCTGTAATGAAATGGTGCTCCCTTCCCCTGCATCCCACAAGTAGGAAGCCATCAAGGGGGGGAGGGAGGAGGAGGGATCGAGCAGCAGGAATCAAAAAGTATGTGATGTCTTAAAGAGGACTGCAGGGATCTCAGAGGAGAGGATGGGGGGAATCAGCTGCCATGGGATGAGAGGAAAAAGCTACTATACTTTTATGCCCGCGACATGTAGGAACAAAGCTCCCACATTTATCATTAGTGTGATCTATCACTGGAAATTTAGGAGATCTAATGCAAACTTCCAATTGTGTGAGGATGGGTTATCTGGGAGCTCAGTTAACTCCTGTGCAGCAACTGCCAGCAACTTACTTCAGAATTGTGATAAGAGTAATAAAAACAGCTACGTTCTTCATTAGGTTTTGCATTATCATGAGTGGACTGTTTTTGCATGGGGATTGTGTTTTGTTTTTTCCTATCGTAGGACACCTTCGACATCATAGGAAAGCAAGGGCATTATCTTTTAGCAATGGAGATGTTCCAAGCAGCTTTTTCTGGGAAGCAAACAAACATACCACCATCCCTCCCCCACTCCGGAGCATGAGGACACTGGTCCTTCCTTTTATAAACCACCCACCTCAATGTAAAGCTTGCCGGGCTTCTTGCAAGCTCAGTCGTGTCTGCGCACCTGCTTGCGAGATCTCGAAGCTTGGTTTTCTTCCTCCACAGCAGAAGAGTCGGGAAACTTTCCTAGCCATCCAGCTATCCATCCGCCCACGGAGGAGCAGTGGCTTTGTAGGCCCGCCCATCCCCCCTTTGAGCCGAGCATCAGTTTTATAACCTGCCATCTGCCTCAAAGCACTTCTCCATCGTGAGGAGGCAGAGGTAGCAGCCTGCCGGGCGGATGCCTTCTTCTTCTTCTTCCTCTCCCTTCTCCCTGAAATGATGAGAGTGGGATGCTGCTGGCTGGGTTATCCTGCAGGGGAAAGCAGGGCTTTTTCTCTGAAAGGCACTTTAGCCAGCTGAGGTTCCTGGCGGCAACACAGCAGGCAATCTCTACCCCAAAGCACGCCAGAGCCGGGCCAGCATCTGTGAGCTCCAGAAGCAGCGCCCGAACACGGCTCTGCCCTTGCTGGGCCAGATCCTTCCCTGCTCAGGCTTTCCTCCACCTCCTGCTCCCCTCGCCTGGAGATGGATAGAGGAGCGGTGTCTCTGTTCCTAAGACCATCAGAAATATGTGTTTTCTGATGGTCTTAGGCAACCCCTGTGAAAGCGTCTTTCCATCCCCAAAAGGGTCGTGACCCACAGGTTGAAAACTGCTGTCTTAGGGGGTCGAAAGTCACCCTGGAGGGGCAACCACCGAGAAGGAGGCTTGCTGGTGACTGCGGGAGAGCGGCAGCTTCTCCCATGGCTCCAGCTATTTCCTTAGGGCCAACAGAGCAACGATTATCCTGCAAGATGGCCGATTATCCTGCTGCACCAGCCGGTCACAATTACAGCTAAGCGTAATTAGACTCAATGCGGAGGATCTGGGTGAGACCCTTTTTGCCCCTCTCTTTTCCCTATTTTGGCTTTTTTTACTGCCTGTAAAAACTGGGTTGGAATTATTTCCCTGTTCGGAAAAAGCAGCTTCTGTTTGTGTGGGAAGAAAGGCGCTGAGAGCAAAGAATCCTTAAAGACTACATTTTATTTTTATTCATTTTGGGATACAGAAAAAATGCTTTTTCAAATTGTATTAGTAGTTAATATTGGAAGATTATTTCTTCCTCCACTCTTTCCTTTAAAAGATAGAAAAAAAGGAGGGAAATGGTGTCTGGAAAAGTTTTTTTTATTTACTGAGGACATCTAGTGGTGAAAAATTAATATTGCAACTGTGGAGTAGTCTTTGGAGAGAAGGAGCTGACCTTCAAACTTTTCCTGGAAAAGATAACCTGATGCAGCTGTGGGAACTGAGGGGGTGGACACTGTTTAATTACAGCTTTCATTAAATAAAAAATAAAGGATTTTCTTTATCCACTTTTAAAATGGAGAAACTTCACTCTCACTTGAATTGCAAGCTTATATTGGAAAAGATCTACGAGGTTACTGAAGAAATATGTTATAAGGAAAGGGATTATTACAGAACGAAGAGTCAACTCTACCCCAAACCCTTAAACTGACTTTCAGATTACATCTGTTTATTCTACAAACCAAAACCTACCAGAAGAGGAATTAAGAGAGATTAAAGAGGAATTTGCTACAACGAAAGAGATTACTACAGAACTAAGAACCAGAAATTCCTCCTTAAATCCTAAAAGTGACTTTCTGACTATATCTGATATTCTACAAACCAAAATACACTAAAAGATGACTTCATGGAGGATACAGAGGAACTTATTTCACCTTACACGCATCTTATCTATATTTTTGAGGATCAGAAAAAGCAAAGACTGAGATTTGAACCTTTAAAGCACCAAGGCTTCAAGAATAAGAGAAATAGAGGTCCAATGCAGAGGATAGGAGGCTTATTACTGCCTCAAATGGCATCACAAGCAACAAAGAGAGACCCATTGGTTGGAAGGGAAGTTGTTGTTGTGGAAACCTGCCTGGCAGAAAAAGAAGCCCAGAATAAGACTGAAAATAGAAACTTAAATTATATATACTGGATTTAAGGCATTTTAGAATTATGGACTGATCTAAGGATTAAGCTCTCATGTTAGAAGTAAGAAAAATGGGTAATTATTAGAATATATATATATTAAATAAAATAAGAATGTATGTTTTGGAATAATAGGTTTATATGTATGAAAATTATTATATAATGGAATGAAGAAAACTGAAGAGGTGTTCTAGACCTGAACTAATAATGAATTGAATATTATTTTAATAAGATGATGTGTTTTATCTGAGAATATGGATGTTATTAGGTCTGATAACTAATTGGATGAAATTAGAACCTTGTCTAATGGACTTAAATGATTTAAGGTTGAGATTATTGTGTTAGTCTAAGTAACTGATTGATTGATAGATTAGATATGTATAGGATAGATTAATATTTTATTTTAACTGGGAGATAGCAGTGGAAGGAAGACTAAATAAGATTTATGATGAAATTAAAGAATTAGGATAGATTTGGAAGTGATACCTGAACTGATAATGTGCTTATTTAAAGTTACATTTGATTATGGTCTTGTAATTGCATAAAGCTATAAAACAGGTTTAGGATTAATAGAAATTTAAGTTAGAAATAAACTATTTTAAATATATAAGCTATTTGAGGGAAATAGAGAGGGAATATTTGATGTATTAAGTTATCTACATATGTTTTGTTTTTGGATTTTTGATTACCCCAACACCACAGTGTGTCTTGAGCACTTTGTATTAAAATTAAAAAATCAATAAAATTTGGTTTTTTTAAAAAATTATTAACCAGAAAGAAGTCAGGGTGAAAGCTCTAATAATTATTATCATCATCAGATTCTTATGTATTCTGTTTAAAGAAGTAAATCCATGAGTTGACTTTGACTACTTCTGACTCTATGGACACCCATGTTGTCTTCCTGAACATAGTATTGTACAATTGCCACTGAAAACAATATTTTAGAAGCATTTAGACAGCATTGTGTTTCCTTCCTATTTTTCCTAAATCTGATTCAGCATTTTTTAATAGAGATT